TGCCGTAATCTCGAATCGACTAATCTACTTCCCCGTGAGCATTGAACTTTCTTATACAGAGGGGTCCGGGTTATCGAACAAGCCGTCGAGGGAACGGAAAAGTATCTGACAATATCAAATCTTGTTTATATATACAGGGTGATTCAGAACTTATCCAAAAACTGGGCCACTGTAAAATCTGACCTTGCATGCAATGGGCGACTTATTTTCTATCAACAATGGCGAAAAATATCGGACGAAACATACGCCCATGGAGAAATGGGAGTACTTAGCGACGACCTATCTACCTTACGTGAAAGGTTGTACAGATAAAATCGGGCGTCAATTGAAGAAGAGGAATATCAACATAGTATTCAGCAATGTAACGAAGGTAGGGGCAGCGTTTTCAAAGACCTGCAACAACGACCAGGTCCAGGGCCTGGGGTCCAGGGCCCAACAGGGACGGTGGCGTAGATCTGCGAGGTATATGAAAGATAGTCATCCGTGAAAGCAACCCACTGGAACGTCAGCAACGCGTACGAGGTCACCCACCGGAACGTCATGGATCAGTGATCAAATATAAATAGTGACAAGATTAGTAGACAGTGGCGGCGCGTGAACATTGATTGAATGTGTTCTGCTTAGGGTTGTTACATTTGTTGAATTGAATTCCGGGATATTAAGTGCCCGGAATCCCTAAATGGCGTCCCTAAAAAAGTATTAAAACAATATTGTCATAAATTCAGTAAAAACCGAAAAAAATGACAAAGTTTGAACGACCATAACTCAGTCTATTTTCATCGAAAAAACTTTTATAACCCATCATTTTGTAGGAAATTTTATATACTTCTTTTTCTATGAAGCAATGCCTATACCTATCTCTGCTCAGAAAAAAGTTATTTCCATGAAAGTAAAAAAAAAACAAAACTGAATTTTTTGCATTTTTTGTTAAATTGTTTTTAATATATTTTACAGTAAATAAATTTTTTAAATATTTTAAATAAGCTATTTCGATAGAAAATCTCATTATCTACAAAATTTTTCCTATGCAATACCCTCAAATTTTGATTCGTTTTCGAGATATACTAAAAAAACCGTAAGGGTTGCATTTTCACCCTTATCTCCAATTTCCACCCTCTAATTTAATAGCACTCCCCGGTTTTTTCTTTCTGAATAACTATTTGAACGATTCATGCAATAAAAACCCATCAACATTGTAATTCCTTAATACCCTGCTTTTTAAGACATGATCAATAGCCTATTACAATTAGGTAAAATAATATTTTAAAGTGACATCTAAAACTTTTTTTTATTATTTTATTACTTAAAGAAACTGTTGTAGGTGAAAAATTTTTTGAAGGTGATTCGTAGAATAACAATTTTTTAGACGTATGTTTGACATATTTTCTCAGTCATTGTCATTTCTGTTTGTTTCTTAATATTAAATTTTTTTATTCTGTATTATTTTTTTTGAAAAACTTAACCATTTCACATGTATCGAATCCATAAGAAGCCATTTTTCTCAAAAACCAAGCATTTCATTTAAGTAAGAGACTTTTTTGCTGTACAAGCCGAAAAGTAAAAATATATATTCAATTTCAAAAATTTACAGTTGCGTAGAAATTATATTACAAATAGGACTCCTTATTGCCTATGATTGATCTATTTTCACAGTAATTTGTAAGATTAATAGAGCTTTTCATTCGTACACGTCATACTAAATATAAAACAAATGGCTTTCATAGTTTAAGAAAAAATAAATAAAAACTAAAAAAACTTTTTTTTTCAAGATCTTATATCTCTAAAAGGAAGCCTTTGGAAGAAAAACTGTATACTTCAAAATAACATTATTTTGACGAGATCTATCGATTAAAGTCCTAATTATAAAAAGTGAATCATCCTATATACGTAAGCCATTTTTGACATTTGAAAAACTAATGTAAACACTATCGCAACAACGGTAATACTAAAATCGGATTTCAGTATTCGGAATCGCTTGGGGTTACGTGGGCGAAATAGTAACATATTAAATAACGCTACCCAACAAAATTTACCCGTCACTGTTTTTACAGGACATCAGCCACGTTACTAATAGACATGGAGGTTTGAAGCATCATGGGGGATGAAAATCTAAATCAATTTACAGTCGATGATAGCAAACAATACACACGTGTCGTGCAAGTAATCAATAGGAATCACTGCATTGTAAACAGTATATCAGTTAAGTGGGACGATGCGGGGTCGGCCTAAGTTTCGCGTAATAATTCCTGATTAATTTTCACATTACTCACAGTTTGCTTAAAGAAAATGGTTAGAAAGTTCATTTTGAAGTTGTTTCTGCGCTTTACAGATCTAGAATAGGCCTTTTTGAGGCAGTGTCGTACTTAAATTTTGTTATACTGTAACACCGCTGGTCATGATTAATAAATAGCCGAATAAACAACGACGCGGCTGCCTCGCATCGCGGCAGTCGCTTCCCGAGATACTTAATGAGCGTTAATCACTAATTTATACGGGAGATTGTGTTGTCGTACGCTGTTTATTCTGCGTAATTGTCTCTCCGCTGCGAATATAAAATTTTCATAATCCAATTTATGTTGACGTGCTCCCTTTCTCCTTCTTCCCGCCTTTTACCAGTCCGTTTTTGTCCCGCGGTTCGCGCAAGGAGTCGGAAACGACGCGCCCGACCCTCGAGATTGTTTGATTCAGTTATCCTTATATTTGTTCTCACGGTTCCTTAATCTCGTTCATTAGGTGCGCGGGGATTTGCATACAAATAAGGAAAGGATTCGGATGCCTAATAAACACGCGAGTTTGTACAAGGCCTCGCAAATTAACGATATTGCTCGTTTAAACTCCTTGCCATATCGACATCCACAGGAGGTCCAGGGGTCCATTCATTGATATACATCCTGCGGACGTCCTATTGTGCGGAAAATGTGCCTAAATGTTCATTGTACTTTCTAATATCCATTAAACGGACGTTCTTAGGTTGTCTCTACATTGTATGGCTTGACGTTTATCGTAATATACATCTTCAAAAACAATTCGGAAACTGGGATTAAGCCCTCTGGCCGGTATTTGTATTTGCTATGTGTACTGTTTCAAAGTCATTGTACTGAGAAAGTCTAGTTGTCTCTAACTTCCAGGAAGTTCTAAATCCTCGTCCCTCACGTAAATACGGTCTAGCGACAAGCTATCTACCCTTTACAAGAATGTATTGACGTGATAAACCGCTTTTAAGGAAACACAAAATGACGACCTTATTTTAATTATGATTTTTTGTGACCGGCCCTACGTTGGGCGCCAAATTTTATGTACAAGAACACGTTTATAACGATTAGAACTGGGGTTTTATTTCGAATTATGGTTTTTAATTTTGCCCGACCCCACGTTGGGCACCAAATTATTATACGTGGGGAAATATTTATCATAATTATAATGGTTTTTATTTTTAATTATGGTTTTTAATTTTGACTGGCCTCGCGTTGGGCTAAATTGGATGTGTAGGTAATCTGAGTAAATAAAAATTTATAGGGTGTTAATGGACTTGTGTCAAAAATTAAAAGGTGTGAAAAAGGAGCAAAAACTAAGTTAACTGATGTCACAAACTTGTATCGCAATTTAAAGAAATAGAGAAAAAAGCGAATTAAAAATGTGTTTAACAGTTTTAGAACTGCTGAAATGCATGTATTTTATCGCGGCGAATACTTACAAAAAATTCTGTAACATTTTTTTACGAGTTTGTAGGTTTTGGACTGTATACGAAAGTCAATTGTTGTAGTGATTGCTGTGCTGTTTTTTGAGTACAAGATTTTTTTTTATTTAGCAATCGCAAATATTATATGCTCATAATTTATGGCGAAGCAAACGAAAATACCCACAGGGCTTGTCAAGTGTCAACATCTTCTGTGAAAAATCAGCAGTTCCCAAAAGGTTCTCCTTGCAATGTTGAAGTGTCAGATTTTAAAATTACTTTTTACTCAACACAAATCTGTGTATTTGCCTCATTTTGACAACGGACATGTGGCAAAAATATTTGACATAAGTTCATTAACACCCTATACAGGTGGCATAAAAGTATGGGAACCTCAAAAAATTTGGCGATATGCAAATTCCGGAAAAAACAAATATAGGGAAAGTTAGGTTTTTCCCTGGTGACCATGCCATGACTACTGACCACGTGGTCATTATGAGGTCAACGATTTTTTTAAATGAGATCGGATATGACCTTGACCATTTAAAAGATTTCAAAATGGCGGCGAAATCAAGATGGCGAACGAAATCAATATGGCGAACGAAATTTTTGAAAGTTAACCGATTGTCACCAAATTCTGTATACGGTGGTTTTCGAGGTCGCTGATCACGAATCCGAGGTCAAATTTGCAAAATTCAAGATGGCGAATTCAAGATGGCGACGAATTTTTTGAAAATCAGTCGATTTGCATCAAAGATGGTATACGGCCGTTTTTGGGGTTGCTGATCACGAATGTGGGATCAGTGACCCCCAAAACCCCATATATCAAATATAGTTTATTTTCTGAACGGATTGTAGACTGCCGTTCTCTCAGAAACTAGTTTTACTCCCACAGAAAAACTGTAGGTTTAGTTGCATTATTTTTTGGGTCTTTTCTACCTATTACTTTTTTTTTTATTTAACTTCTTGTCCGGAATTTGCTTAGGCTGCCACTTTTACTGGTTTGATGTGTTAATGGCTGCCAAAGTTCAATTCCATTTGACTTTTGACATGTATAGGTCCTTTCTTGAATATTCACCGCAAACTTATTTCTTCTCGACTGCACTTTTTGTTCCGGAACAACACTTTGGGTTTTAATTACTGTAATTAATTATTAATTAATTACAGCAATTTTATGCGGATCTTAGAAAAAACTTACTGACTCAGCCGTTTTTTCTGGATTTGTAGGCACCTTCATACGTTTTCACTCATCAAAAATTACTTACCTCAAACATTACTTCTTGTCGATCTTCAGCGAATGCAGCACACAAAATAAAACCCTCTCTACATTTTGCTTGCTTTATTTGACAACATGGACTACACATCAATTAAATTCAGTTTATAAATATGCGTGACAGCTACAGCAAACAATTGCGAATTACCCTAGGAATGGATATTAAATAAAAATAAAAAATACTTCACTATCGACTAAATAATAAAAAAAAAAATTGGTGCCGCTTAATCCTCGGTCCATTCGAATGGCTCTGGTGGCTCAGGTTCCTTCTCTTCCTCACCCTTTGGTCCAAAAGCTGCAACAAAAAAGATGTTACTCAACCGTCTCTATGATTTCGTCTCAGTTTCTATTCTTACCAGCTACTGGCTCCACGAGTTCCTCTTCTCCAGGCTTCAAATTACGCACCATGATGATTCCACCAATAGAAACATCTTTCATAGGTACGTACTGACTGTTCTCGTTAACAGAAATCACTTTAAGTTGTTGCCTCATCACCCTGGCGGGATTCTGAAGGATTTCAAAACTGGGTTCGGGCTCCTTTTTCTTCTCTTCCTTCTCATCCTTCTTGTCTTTCTTATCTTCTGCCGTAGAGGTGCTCGCTTTCTTAGAATCATCGGCAGTCTTCTTGTCATCCTTCTTCTCATCTTTATCAGCCGACTTCTTATCATCCTTGTCGTCATCCTAGAAGAATTAACTTTAAATACCAAATTAGTCTAAAGCCGAATAAACTTACCACTTCCATCTTCTCATCGCGATGTTTACGCTCGTGGTCTCTTCGTCGTTGCCTAGCGGCGATACTTAGAACTGCGGTGGTTACTTTCTCGCGCTCTTCACGTTTCTTCTCTTCCATTGGAGCTGGGTAGGCATAAAGACTCGGTTTGGCGTTGGATTTCAATTCCAACTTTGGCATCTGAAACAGAAACTATTTTTATCACACTTTCCAATGAGTGAATAGTTAAACTTACCTTAAGCTGAGTGTTTAAAGCAATGAGGCAAGTAGGAGTGAAGGCCAAAGCCAAACAGTGAGACAGAGGGAACCAGTACCAGTACTGGGTAAACACCAAGGTACCAACCACTGCCAACATATTCATGTGCCCAGTTCTAGATTGCAAAGACAGTGTAACATTTCTACCACCCGCGTCGATAATACCTGTAAAAAAAACGTGTAACGGGACTAGATTAATAAAAGGAAACTTCAAAACGTACCCTGAGCTAAGATGGCCCCGAACTTAGCCATAACGTCCTCGTGCTTGTTGGAGATGACCTGCGCGTACGTCTGCCTGAAGAAGGTCACCTTGGGGCAAGTCTGTTCGGTCTGCTGGATCAGGATCATGGCGGATGCGATGAGGGCGCCCTGACGGACGAAGTTCACCGGGTCGAACATCACCATGGGTTCCAGAAGGGCGATGGCCTCGCGTAGGCCAGTACCGGCGCAGGCTATACCCAGGGCCATGGCGGCGCCGTAGCGCACGTGCGGGTTGTAGCTCTCGGCCAGGAGGGAGACGACGCTGGGGCATTGCTCTGGGGTCCTGGAACAAAAGGATTAGATATGAAAATCTTTTAATAGGATGATAATTTATACAGTAACAAACAGTAGGGGCCCCAAAATAGATCCATGAGTCAGTTAATATGTTTAGCACACTTTTGCGATCATATAATTGTACTTTAGTATTGTACGGTTGTTCCTTGTAATACTAGACGAAAACATATTGACAATATAGTTTACATTAAGAATACATTCATATTTCGACTGCAGGAAGGTGCGGTTTATTATTATTCTGTCGTAAAAGTAATAATACGTCGTTTCAAACGCAGGAAGGAGTTGATTTCGTGAAGACAACGTTATCATTTGCACTGGAGGGAGAATCCTGACACGATTAATAGCACGGTCATTGAATCAAAGGAAACATAGTAGGTCCCGCGCCGAGCGAAGGGAACATCGCTAATTACAAGTTGTTCGAGAGGTAGGAACCTCTTCTAGTCGGTACACAAATGCCTGGGACGCTCGACTCGACAAAGACGAGAGTTGCGGAATTCCTCGGCTCGCTGACAGCATTCTATACTTGAATGGCAAAGAGCGACACATGCATCCGTCTAATTGACGGTAATAGCAAACAACACAAGTAAACCTGACACCCTGACAAATCACATTCTCCGCTGAATTCTCGCCTCTTTGATCTCGCTGGTTACTAAATTAAAAAAATTGGCCATTCATCAAAATATTAACGGCGCTACAACGTGTATATTTCGATGATGCCGGACTTTATTAAAATAAATCTTTTTATTATTAATCGAAAACACTCTTGAGGCGTATTAATATTTATTAAATGCTGATGATGTGAATATTTTAAGGTATACTAAAAACCATTTCACTACCGCTGTGTGCTTCACATAAAAATTCGATAAATATTCATGGAACTTATGAATGATGTCGCTTCAAAGAAATAATATATTATTTAAATAGCCTTATAAATAGCTATAACCCCGCTATAATAAAACAGGGCAGGATATAAATATTAAAACGGTAAAGGCAATTTAGTAAAATTGGGTGGTAAATCTATAAGACAACATTTAAAAATATTTAACCTGTAGAAAACTATAATTCTGAGATTGATTATTATTATTTTCAGGTTTGTTTCATTTTTATGTCGTTTTATTATCGCAATCATCGGGCTATATTAGGATTTATTCGTACAAGAACGTTTCGTGGTTCACGCGAGTTACATGGGGCGGAAATTAGTAGGGACGTTCGAATGTAAATAAAGAACGAAAGATAATTAGGACAAAAGGACAAGATTTAATTACCGATAAAAGGATTAATGGACATTTGGGAACCACATAAAAGTATCAGAGGAAAGATAGAGGAGAACCACGAAAAAGTTGATGATGTTACAAATATAAAAAGAAATGTTTAAAACAAAAAATAAAAATAGAGAACCATTTTCTTCCCACAATGATCGCTTATGAAATAAAAAAAGTAACTAGAGGATACCTATTGCTCTTTTAGGAATCCATATTTCTAAGCTTCTGAAAGCACTGTAAAGATGTTTATATTGTCGGAACTTATTTTTTTTTACATCATTTCCAATGTAAAAATTGGTTTTTATAAAGAAATGTGTATGATTCCAAGTAAAATGTCTATCAGTGAAAAAAATTAGTACATATTTTATTCTATGTATCTGCATTGCAATTAATACAATTTTCAGTAAGAATTATAGGCAACTCATAACCTTTTGGATGTAGCAGATGTAGAATATGTTTGAGGTTGCTTCCTTAGTCACCTTTCTGCGCAAAATTTGATTAGATATCGAAACATTTTGAACTGATTAGAGCTTATTGCAACGAAAGACTGGACAGTTTTATATACTTTATTTTAATTCAAACTTTTAAGGATAGTGACTACAATAATGTATTTACAATATCGTTTTCTTGGTGTTTTTTAATAATGTATCGCACAAAAACTCGATATACAGGGTGTTTAAATTTTGTGTTCGAAATTGCTGCAATTTATTCAAATCTCATTTAAAAGTAGCACAAAAATTAAATGAATAAACAAATTTCCAATGGATATCATCTCTACACAAGTTGTTCAAAGTTGTTTCCATGTGCTAATAAACATGCTTCCAAACAACCATCAAAATTCTGTCACAAAAATTACCACACCACACGTTCACTGAAAACCGAGATCTCTGTAAGCTGAGGGTATGCATCACACCAATAAACATTTTATACGCCGGCTAAGTAATACTGCAACACACAACGCACGTGCACACGATGCACAGAGTCGGCTTACACGTATTGTTAATTTTCTTAATTAATTTTCTCGAAAACAGAAGTATTTACACCATCAGTTACTTAACAAAAGATGCTCAATTTCGTGCCCTCTATCACCCTTTAATTTATTTCAGAAGCGCCCTGCAATTCTACAAGTATTCATGAAAAATTGACCACTTCTTACGAGAATGTGCACCCTTGAAGATTCCACAAAAGATACATTGCACCCCCAAGTCGTTCAACACATCAACAACAATCGACATATTGCGAATAAGGGCAATTTCATCGGATACCTTAAAATTTTTATCAAATCGAATCCCTACGGCGAATGTAATTCTAAGAAAAACTCCCCGGGAGGAAATTTATAATTGATGCTATCGATTCCAGGCAACGCTAACATAGACTTAACAGTTGGGACGGTATCGATATTTTTTTCCTCTTCAAAGGAAAAGAACGAAGGACTTGACGCCCTTTGAAAGTTTTATCAAGCGTTATAATTACCTTACCGAGTTAAAAATGAAACGTATCTTATGTTTAAGTGAAATTTTATTATAATAAGTCTCGTGGAGATTTAGAAGAAGTTTTTATCATTTAAGCGATATAAATAGATGAGATATTAAGCATAATTGACTGAAAAATTAAAATTGATTAGTCCTGGAGCTTTCAAGAAATAATTCCAAGGTCCCTGGATCACTCAAGAAGTAAATCCAAGGTCAAAGCTCATCCTTTCCGTTCACGAACATCAAAGAGCGTCGAACAGTTTCCTATAATTAAAAAAAAGCACTTTACGCAAGAGCGCTTATTGAAAAATGACTTGAAACCGGAGCAGATCCCGTTAAAATTGGGTTTTTTAGTAAAGCGCACCAGCTCAAACAAACACGCCGCGGAAATTTTACTGCATATCAAATACACCAGGTAAAATAAACTAATAAAAGCCGAATAAAAATATTTCCGGGACGCATCTGCCTTCGCCGGGAGATTTACATCGAAAATCTGAGGGCGCGCCAGAGGCTGATTGATTGATGGGCCCCGAAATTATTTTATGGCCGGTCGTAAGTTATTAATTATATATCCGAAAATACGAAAATAAACACCGAAACACCCGCGGTCTTGTTCGGTAGAAAAATAAACAAGGAAGACCTTGGAAAATCGTATCCTACGTTCCATCATTTTGCCTTAGGGGATATTTAACGGGAGGAAAACAACGTTTTCAACCCTTAACGTCGTTAACAAAACACGGAATATACCCTGGGGAAGGCGTAGTGAAGGTACAAGGGCAATTATCAATGTTTCAAAATATTTACACACTTTTTGAATATCAAATAATTAAAAAGTGTTAAATTCGAAAAGGACGTAATATATTTTCTGAAATAATTTATTTGTGGCACATTTGTTTTTTATTTATTGTGAACAAAATTTAAAAAAAATGTGAAATAAACCCTAGGGTAATCAATCAAGGGTTATTTTTTTATGAATATAGTTTTGCCTGATCAAAATTCTCACACTGAAAAGGCAAAATGTTTAAGCAAAATTATTAAAGAGTAACCCTTAACTCATACTTTAGCGTAGGGGTTTATTTCATAAATAAGTTTTGTTCACAGGAAGAAAAATACGAAACAAGAAAAAGGACATAATATAACTTTTTTGCAACTGTGTCATTTTGATATGGACATTTGTCTAATATCACTTGATTATAATAATTAGTGAATTCAGAAAAGAAAATTGATTTTATTTCCTATATTTCAAGAACCGGAAGAGACAATTTATTGAATTTTGGTGCATTATATCGATTTTTTGATTTTTTTTACTTTTTTGCCTCTAGTTTTTTTTTTGAGTAAAGATAGGTATAGGCATTGCTTCATTAGAAACAAAGTAGATAAAATTTCCTTTCAAAGTAAGAGGTTGTAAAGTATTTTTGGATGAAAATTGACTGTTATATTGCCGGTCAAACTTAGCCAATTTTTCGATTTTCGTCGCGTTTACTCTTAAACGTTTTAATTCTCATTTTTTGTGACAAAGGAAGGAAATAAGACGTTCAAGGATTTTCATCACATGACTTGCTCGAAGGGTCAAAAATGAAAAAACCGCGGGGTGCTATTAAATTAGAGGGTTGAAATTGAAGATAAGGGCGAAAATACACCCCTTTCAATTTTTTAAATATAGCACGAAAACGAAGCAAAATATCGGTATAGTTCATAAGAAAAATTTTGTAGAGAATTGAATTTCCCAAGGAAATGACATATTTAAAAAATTTAAAAGAAAAATTTTATGCAAAAAAATCGTTAATAAACAATTTTAAATAATCAAAAAATAAGATTTTTTGATTTTATATACTTTTTGACTCTAATTTTTTTTTAGTAGGCAGACAATTTTGCTATACAAAAAACTAAATGAGATTCCCTTCAAAATGATGCGTTTTCAAAAGTTTTTGGACTAATATTGAGTTATAACCGGTCAAACTTCAATATTTTTTAGATTTTCGTCGTTTTTAACATAATAATGATTATAATTCTTATTACATATTTTTACAACAAATTGGTTCTTTACTTAATAAAAAAATATTTCAAAAGTTTTTTTTGTTAATAATAAATAAAGATTCTCAAAACCTGAGTCAAAAAAGTAAATAAAATAAAAAAATCAAATTTTTTGCTTTTTTTTAAACTGTTTAATAACGATTTTTTGCATAAAATTTGTCTTTTAAATTTTTTAAATAAGCCATTTCAACTAGCAAAATTTTGCTTCGTTTTCGAGCTTC